TTCTCTAAATTTAGAAACAATAAATATACGACTGGCGAGGATGCGTCCTTAAACTCATCCAATAATTTCCTGAAATTCTCCATGTTCAAAGAACACCTGAAAGAAGCAATTCGTAGAGAACAGAATAATCAAAGAAGCTGCGACCATGATCGAATGTAACCGCGTCTCGAGCTGCTGTCTAGAAGAAATCCAGCTGGGAAAAGGATAAGAGGGAAATCAATTTACAATTTGCCGCATCGAAGCGACGAGAGTGCTCTATAAAAAATGGCGAGCCGCGGGGCCACGAACAGGCCTCAAAGGACAGGGTCGAAAGCAGAAAGCGAGTGAGTTTGAAGCTTGTTCTCACGGGAACCGAAATCACATCCTTAATTTCCATAAAAGAGTGCGATGGGCCTCCTTCCTCTCACTTCGATCGAGTGCCTTCCTCGCCTCTTATTTTCTTCATCTCTTTTTTTATCTTCTTCCTCTAGCCTTTTACTTTTGCTTCTTCTTTTCCCCTTTACCCGATCCTCCCACGGGTAAGAAGATGTCTCTGTCTTTCGAGGAACTTGAAGCTTCGTAAGCATATCTCGTTCATCCTCTTACCTCGTTCGCGACTTTGCCACTCAGCACACCCTCCACTCTTCTCTCTGTCTCTTTTGGTGACGCTTGCCTTGTGCCAGACCAGGTCAACGTAATTACCGGCGAGGGACCTCGTTGCTCATTGCCTTGTTCGTTTTTTGAGCGACACTCGTGTACTTGATGTATCGGTACATCCTTTAGATTTTTAATCGCTCGTTGTTTTTTAATTCTCTTGTTCCTGATAAGGGAGGTGTAAGCGTTTGAGAATTCGACGATTTGTGAAGGACAAGCTTGACAAAGGCGTGGATGGCGTATAATAAGCATTATACTTGAGACGAAAAATTATTAGAATACTCATAAAGTTTGGTGTCCCTCGAGATCTTACAGCAGCGTTGGGGTAAAAATTGATTTACAAATAGGAAATTCTGGTCCGTGTCTCGATTAGTTTCATTAATTGAATTGCAATTTAGCAAAGTTACATAGAATTTGGGAATCTTTCTTTTTATCTATTAACTAACTTCGTTATATTTTCCCTATTTATATTTTTATATTATTCCTATTACATTTTTATTTATATTTTTCCTATCCTATCGTTATATTTTTCCTATTCCTCACATTCTATCTTCAATTGTTTATCATTCACATTCTATCTCACATTTTATCTTATCCTTAACTAACTCGGTAATTAGTATCCATAATTAAAGACCTATAATCCGGCAAAACGTAATTTCCAACAATGAATAAAAATCCTTCTCATACCAAACATACTAAAACACACACACAAACGATTGGAAAAAAGAAAAAGTATATTTTCACTCTTTATAAGTATATCTTATAAGTATATTAAAAGTATATTTTCTTTTACATTTTTGTACGTTATAACCTCAGCGTTGAATTTCTAATATTAAAGATATCAGGTCTGAATTATACTATCAACCAAACTCGACCCAATTCGCTCAAAAGCTAGAGCAACCCCTACTCTAAAGAACACATCTTTTTCCAAGTTGATATCTCAGTCGGTTTGCAAGATACAGCGTTTCGAAGGACGTTATAGGACAGCGCGCGCAAAGCTGAATGGCGGTCGAATTCCCGGAAGCGGCGTGACCCACTTTTCCTTCGTGAAAATACGCACGCAGCGTAGTAGTGATAGTAAAGAAAAAAACGTCGATTCAGCGTCCGCCGGTGGGTAGCTAGTGTGGGGTAGGTCAGTGAGTGCGTGCGAGGAAGAGGCCCGAGTGTGCGAGAAAGAGGACGATAGGGAAATATTCAAAATTATGGCCATCTTTAAACGGCCATATTTCCGAAACGGGAAGTCGTAGGAAGATGAGACAAAAAACATTTTAAAGAGGAAGTTTAGAACTCTATAGTCGTGTAATTGATGAGATGGTTCGATGAAACGCAGGAAGGTTACAGAAAAGAGTATTATAGGTAGAAAAGGGAGAAATTTGATGAGTTTTCATGGTATCGATAGCGAATAACAATTGACAATATAAATATGTCGTGTGAAGAATGGTGCATGCTCGTAAAATACAACAAAAGATTAGTGTTAACGAGGAGTAAAAATTATAACGTTGTATTGAAAGGTGGTTTGAGAACTATGAATTTTGGAAAAATCTGCTTTTATTCAGGATATACAGGATGTGGTCGAATAACATGTACAAGCGGACGTGAGGTGATTCCTTATGAAAAGAAAAGAAGAAGACGTAGAATGAAACCCTTTTGTCCCTTTGTTTTAGAGAAAATCGTATTTGAAAATTTATCAAGTGCACATGAATATCATTAATTATCGGCTAGGTATGAATAAACAATTAGTAGAAAATTATTCTATATATTAGGCTGTCTGAAAAGTTTATTTCGTTTCATAAGGTGATAATAGATGAACAACAATTTCTGTTTTATATTATTTTATTGAATTAGCTATGATCCATTTCGTTCCATTTCTATTATTATGTTCGTGCATAATTCAATAAACAATAAATAATATAAAGCAAGGAACATTGTGCGTCTATTATTTCTTCATAAAACGAAAGAAACTTTTCGGACAACCCAATACAAACTTCAAATACTTCTTTTTTTATGAATCTGTTAAAATACATACAAATTCGATATAGTGACAAAATAATTTTCACATAACTTCATATTCAATGAGTTGATGGTTAGTGTAAATCAATTTATTTATAACATAAACGAGGATTAAACGGGAAGTATATTATAATCTTAGTGCGTATAGATTTGAATTGTTGAATTTTTAATCCTAGAGGTATTAAGTATGAATTGTACAATCAATTGAACTGAAAGATCGAGATCGGTCAAAATCCTACTTCGTCGATTGTGTAAGACGTCAATTTGAAAGCTTAAATATCAAAAGATCGGCGATTCTATAAAAGACAAACCTAGTGAATTCCAGAAGACAAACACAGTGACATAGAGGAAGATTAACTAAAAATATAAGGCTTCGTGATATTTAAAAGAGCTACCGATAATCACAGGTACCAATATAATTCAATCAATATGAGAGAACCGAAATTGAAGTCATAGAAATGATTTTTCGTTCATCAAAAATGCTTCAATTTTTCATATTTAGACCTCAACGATTTGTCTATCATTAAAACACTGAAAGACTGGAAACATAACATTCCATGGAAAATCCACGGTTCAGATTTCCCAATCTGGTACAATTAGCCGACACCGGAAACGGCTAATTGACAGGCGAGAGATAAAACAGCTCGATCGAATCGTAATCGAGGCTTCCACGGCCTCGAGCACGTCAATAGCCCTCGTCAGACGTCGTCCACGTTCTGATAAGTCTGTCTGGTTTGTATGACGCGAGCTATTCTCCGCGGAATGGTTCCAAAGCCTGTCGTGCAAATTGAATATTTGGCTGTTTCGTTTGTCATAACTGTCGTCCAATGTCCTCTCCTCGAGAGTGAGAGAGAGAGAGAGAGAGAGAGAGAGAGAGAACGTCGGCATCACGTCGTCTATATTGCTACTTATCATGACAGACACATTTGAGCGGTCATTCCCTTGTCGATGCGTTTCCTGTTTCTCCTCTAATGATAATGTCATGATTTATTAAGTTTGCGTAGTTATTTCTCGAATAAAGGAATCGTCAACTAACGTTGCAATATTCCATTTGTAATATATACAATTTTTATATAAATTTTACATTATATATATTTGTAATATATATAAATACTAAATATTATTCTTTGTTATTTTTCTTCCATTTAGATTTTACAGTTTCATAAAGTTTGTGAAAATGGAAAAATTAATTTTTTACAATCGTTAAAAATATGCAGATACTGTCTTTTAACAAAATTAATCTTGACTTTTGTTCAGATAAGAGGACAATTACACGAATATTTATAGGATATGTGGGTCAACACAAATAACAGACGAGTGGTTCTAATGCTAATAAAAGTCATTTTAAATTATGTCATACTTAATAATCGACCCTAATATAAACTCAAATAGCACACATTGTCGTTGATGATCGATCGGTCCAAAAACAGCAGCAACTAGCAATGGGCGCGAAAATTTCACGTCGGAAATTCGTAAAATGAAATTCACTTACCTCTGGCTGGTCCCGGCGGAGCATCGTCGTCGAAAGTTGCCACGACAAGGAGATAATTAATGAAGGATGAGACGCAGCCTCGCAGCGCGAACTTTGCCCGTCGTTCGACCCAATTTCCACCCAGACAATTTGTCAATGTACCGGGATTTTTCGATCGTCTACTCGCAAGATTGTCGCGAGACCCACGGGGCTTCGTCCTCCATAAAGAAACTTCCGCTAGATCGTCCGTTTCTTCGAATAATTATTCAAAGCTTCGCCCAACTGATAAAAATTGCGGTCACATGGTCAAACTAAATAGATCCATCGACTGCAATTAATCTTAATTGATCGTGGTTAACGTATAATATAATTGATTGTAATTATTTGTTTCGTGAAGTATTTACATGAAATTATTTGAAGATATAGGAAATAAATATGATTAGTATGTATCTATATCTTTGTTGATTTTCTGATTTCAGTGTCATTATAGGAGTACCATTTTAATACAACGTAATAATTTCTTAAATCCAAAGGTATAAACCATTTAAAAATATGTAGTTTATAATTCTTTTCTTCTAGTAGTTCTTTTAACGATTCTTTCTACAACTGTTCTCATGATATATCCAATGATAAATTAATATGCATACCGACATATAACATGTTATAGTTCATATAAATTAAAAATTTATTAGATAATGTTACGATTCGTTAAATTAAGAAATTCTTTGTTTAACTTTAAATTCAAAGTTCCAATTATGCCTCAGGAATAAACGCAAATTGTTATTCCCCATTAGTCCGACAGTAATTATTCGAAGAAACCTTAGACGAAGCTAAAAGAAAAGGGTGAATGAAGAAATTAAAAAATCCGCAGGGAACACACGTGATCTACAATATAACGTTGCGTTTATTGTTATCGTTATTCATTAACCACAATCGTTAAACGTTCACTTTCGTATGATACAACGTTAGGTTTCTATACACATCCTCCTCCAGCCTCCCTCTAAGTGTCCTCTTAATCTGCTTACACCTATTTTTAATAGTAGTTCCTTTTCTTACGGTTTCTTAGTATCTGTATTTATATACAAAAGCGCTGGATCATTCGTCCATTCGGCTAAGCTATGAACAATCCAATTTTTATTCCTCTCGCGATTGCGGTTGGTCTAGCACGCGACTCTAATTTCATATCACTCCTCTTTCTCCTCTTTTTATCGTTCTTTAAGTTTCCACTCTCATCCTCCAAACATCCAAACCTATTTTTTTATTCGTCGAATCGCTCGTTCCGCTCAGAGAAATCGTGAACATTCGATCGTTTTATCATCCTCTTCATCTATTTCGAAATTTTCTTACTTTGACACGTTTCTATTCGTCGTACGTTTAGCGTCACGTTTACGTATATTGGTTATAAAATAATTGACAAAAACCTGTCAAGTAAGTCAACAATTCCATCCCCTCGTTTTCAAGTGTCGTTTGGTGCCCGGCCAATGGCCGGATTATAATTATTATTTTTGTTCTCTGTCCCTTTTTTCCCTTCTGTTTCTTTTCTAGAGGGTGGTTTTTATTCGAGAGCGGAACGAGCACGATTCTTCTGTTAGCAGCGACAGGCACACGATTGTTCTCTGGTTTAGTAAATAAAAAAATATCGCAGAAAGGACAATGGTCACTCTTTGGCGAAGTTTTACGATCACTTACATTATACAAATTACGAATAAAATTTGTTCTTCTCGACAATTTACGAAATGATGTTTGCTTTAGACATACAATTATGGCGAGTGTTTTTATTTGTAGTTCAACGTATCGACTACCATGAGATTTCTTTCAATCAATTCCTAGAACTCTCTATTGAATATTCCAGTGAAATTTTATTCGATGTGTAAATTAGTTTGATGCTTTAACTCTATTAACTTTTTCAATTAAATACTTTGATCAAATATTCGTTCGTTTTGTGATACTTTCTACGAAAATATCATCTACACGACTCTTGCTTTTTTCTTTTTTTTTTCTTTTCGCTATAACGAAACACCTGGAAAGATATAAAATGTTAATGGACAGTGTATCGGGAGAAACATTACTTAAAGCAGTTTCGTTTCACGAGAACGCACGACTTAGGCTCTCTTGCGCAATACTTGTGCAACAACTATTTCGACGATTTTAAAAAATACACCGAATCAATTTACACACCTGACAAATTTCGCGTCGACTTCCACAACGAATTATTACAAAGCGATCGCGTTTACATACAAACCTGCTATCATTCTTCTACACGTACAAACTTCTCCAAATTTCCCTTATTTTTAATAATTCATCCTGAATTCCCAGAATCGTAATGAATTTGCAATTTCACCTCAAATCATACATCTTCGTCGTGAATTATTAAATCGTCAATTATTGATTCACAATCATGAACAGAGAGATATTTCCTAATTAACTCGCTATTTTCGAAATTCACGAGAAACACGATCAATTAGGGCATTGGACACTGGTTCAGGCGAACGTTCCACGAAATATTCCCATCTCTTGGTACGTTCGCCTCGATTTCGAGCGCTTGCCTCCCCTTTTTCGCCAACGAACGACAGGAACGATTTCCGGAAGGTGTTCAGGCGACAAATACAAATTCCAGCCGCGCTCCAACACACTTATCATCCCCGTCAAAATCGGTTCGGCCGCGATAACTCGAGGAACCCCTGTGCCCGTCCCCGATAGCTCGTGAATCTTCTTCCACACCTTCGAATTGTGGATGCAGCTGCTCGGAATCGACGAAAATCGGTGCCACGTCGAAATACAGTAAATCTTTATCGATCGTTTCTTCGTTTTAATTATCGCATCTATTGGCGATTATCAGCGCGTAAATTTAGCTTCCAAGTATCAAACTGGTTTGCGATTTCGTTTCTCTTAGGGAGAGATCCCACCGAACGTGTACTATCATTGGACGAATCAATTTTCAATGAAATTAATCGAAATTCACGTAGTTCGTTAGTTCCTGCAGCAATACTTTTAGTTAGAATATCTATTCAGTTAAGATGTCAACATGTCATTCTGACGTACAAGTTAGAACAACCGATTCTTCTGCAATCTTCTTTTCGAAATTTGACTTTTGACATTTTTGAATGTCACGTCTATCGATTGAATTGAATCGCTTTAAAGCTTCCGGAAAGAAATCTTTTATCGGTTCGTTAAATAGATTTCCAAAGAAGATCTTCGAGTTCAAATGGAAAAGATTCGAATATTTGACATTTCCTTCAATAACACAGAAATGGAATTAAAAAATGTTCGAATTTCAAATTATAACAAATGCAATGAAATGAAAGTTTCTCGATGATCTTTTTTCATTTGTTCGTTTCGTAACGAAAATAAGAAAGATCTGCAGAGTTTTGTCTGCCATTTGGACGAATCGAGTTCCCTGAACCGTGACCTTGTCAAGCCTGTACACAGTGGTCTTTTTCTTTTTGCATGCCTATTACGAAATGTTCGCGTGAACCTGTCGCATTGAAAGCCGAAAACGTCTCTGGTTTGTATGACGGCCGCGATTCAGACGACGCCGTTGTGCGAGAGGGAGCCATCGTCCTGCCACGTGTTCGCTGGAAAGAAAAAGTCATCTTTTCAGATTCTCATCGAGACGATCCCTTCGCTAGATGGTAAGAAGTTTGGGGCCGCTCGAGCCTGGATATTATCCTGGGTTACCTCTATAGTGCATGTCCTGAGCCATCGATGGACACTTCGCATCCGGTCGCTGCCGAAAGAAAAATACAAAACTTGGTTTTCGTTAATCGTTTCTCGTCGGAACGTATTATTAGCGCCTCTAAAGCATTAATAGAGTAAGATAAAATATAAGAGTAATATTGTTCTCTGTTATTCGATAATTAAATATAATAATAATAATTAGAAATAGCGACCAAATAATACAAATAATAATCCTGCTGCGATTTTTCAACTCTGGGATTGAACTCTTCTTGGACTCTGAATTTCTACATTTCCATCTCATTCTTGTTTCAAAGAGCGAAACGACGCGTAGTATTTTACGAAGAAATTTAGCACAAAATTGAGATAAGCCTGTTAGCATCTTTCATAGTTTTCTCAAACTTAAGAAGTTTTTTAACAACAAAAGAATCTATTGAATCGGAAATGGCCCAAAGAGCGTAGCAGGATTAAACTGTTAAAAGTTAATTTTGATCAATAAATTTCTTTTAGATGGCGCGACCTGGTCGGAAATTATTTTCACCGATTTTACGAATTTTTCGTGATCCAGAAAATGAATACAAACCCTATCCTTAAATTATTCTGTTAAAAACGTACTCAATCGCCATTAACACAAAACAAATCATGATATCTTTCTCTCGATTTACACGCTTTATATTTCAACTTCGAATTAACATTCATAACGATTAAATCGGACTTATTCTACACGCTTGTAACCAAGCTTCCACATCGGTTAATGCGATTAGTCGATGAAAAATTAACAGAAGCGCCCAAGTAAATGGATGGAGGGAGAGACGATGGAAAATAGAATAGAGCAATTCACCTTGTGAAAATCGATGTTTGTCCGTATAGTCCTGTAATGAAGATCCTGCAGCGGCCTCGAATTGTTTCCCAGGGGTGCTTTCGGGGTGGTCGACGGACCTTGCATTAGTTGCCTTAGTGCGTAAAGCTGGAAATGGGATTAGGATTACGATGTAACGATGCCGTTCCCTCGTTCAATATTTAACCATAAAGCAGAGCTTGTTAAGTAATGGCGTGGTCGTGGAAGGGAGAAGGATTGAAATAAGGGTGGTGGAAGCGCAAGAATAGCCCCGGGAAAACGGGAGTTGAATCTCGAAAGTAATGTACTTTAAGGTATTGGTGTTGGTGCGCCTGACACCTTATTAAATTATTTATTGTCCCGCGATTAATTTTGCAACGGTGCAAGGAGATTAATAACGCGGACCAACGATTTACGCGAATTTCATCGTAAAATTTAGCGTACTTCGTTTCTCTCTAGTAGCCTTTTTAGTAAAAATAGATATCCTCTTGGACGGTGAATAATTAAACGAAATTGCTGTATATGTATATATGTACTTCATTTGGTGTGCCGGTGTTGGAGTAACGATCGTATAAATTCTTCCTCGTCGTGTTACGAGGACAATTTCGCAGGATCTTGAGTTAACTCATAGGTGATATGCCGTGTTAATCCAAGTACGCGTATTTGGTCAAAATGTAATTTTGTGAAAAATGAATTTTAACGTTTAACAACTGGTCACAGATTTCAAATACGTTCGAAATATAAACTGTTACATGTGCAGTTTCAACGCAGAGACGTTTCTCTTATTTAATATTTTATATAGATAAACTAAAGAAAGTTGCTGGTACGCTCGTTCGACCTAACACGGCAGGGGTGTAATATTTGTAATATTACTGATATATAAGAAAACGACAAATTGCTTACAAATTGGTTATTTAACAAATACGGTTTTTCCCATAATTTGTAACTGAACAAATGTTTGAATGTTTCTAATAATGTTTCTAATAATCTAATAAATATTTCCGAATGGAATTGCAACTTTCTTCGATCCTTTCAGTCCTATTAAGAAGTTTCTCAAACTACTGTCGTGGATACGGATGCGTGTACATGTATTCAAAATTAGTATCGTGTTACGTTTATATTATATACACGCGTTTACACAGAACGAAAGATAGAAGATTGACTAATTATCCATTCTACACACGAAAAGGGTAATAAAAAAAGCTCGAGGGAGGAATACAAATTGAGGTAGATAGGGAGAAGGTAAAGAGGATCAACACTTACCTCTCGTGCTGTTACGTAAATAGGTTTGTTGAGGATCAGCCATACTGCTGTTTCCCAACAGCCTGGATGAGTCGTGCTGCCCTCGTAAGTCATGTAATCGTTCGTGTTTGGAAGGAGGCTCTTCAAAGACAGATGACGTACGGGCGCAAAATCGCCTGCACAGAAACACCAAAACTATATGAGAACAACGGGACATTTAAACCACCATCGCATTGTTGATTTCGAAATTGTTGCAAAAATACGCGCTTTCGATGTTTCCTGATATTTTACGAAAACTATCCTAAAAAAAAAGAATTAGAAGAAACTCAAGTAAAATCTACGCGAAGAAATTCGTTGTTGAAGACGATGAAAAGATTTCGGTAAAAAAACTTGAAAAGTTGCCCGATATTTGGGGGAAAATACTGTAAAATACAGTGCATACGTTAATCGTTAAAATGATACATTATTTTTCTAAAATTTAGCTGTGAATGTTCGAACTAATCTCCATAATCTAATAATAATTTGGATTATCAAGAGAAATTTGCCATTTATTTAACATATTCTGTGCGTATGACGTATAAAAATTGGAGGAGTAAAGTTTCAACAAGGATACCAAAACGTAAGACGTAAAATTTTCGATCTTAAACAATGTAACGCGTTGTGTAAATCGTTGGCGTGATTATTAAACTGATCGAAGGAAATCAATGTTGCCGATTCTGTATGAGCAGAAAAATCGCCTCTACCTTGAGCAAACAGAATAAAGGCTAAACTTTTCAAACTCTCTTTGTGCGGCATAACGAAAGCGCATCGGTAAAGAGCGGAGCCTGTCGTCTAAATTCCAGAGTATTTGCATGCTAAACGATCAAAATTCGGCGGGTTCTCTTATTCTATCGGTAGAACCGCTGCGTTGCATATTCAGCGACGTTATTTCGAACGCGACAAAATTACTCGATATTCGTCCGAGGCCACTCTTTGAACTTCAACTCGCGAAACAGACAGCCTGGAAAAAAGAGCAGGAGACTGGCTCGCCGGCGCCAAGAGAAAGGAACTTTGTATACTGTATATATTATTTATTTATTTATTTATTTATTCGTGGTAAATGGAGGTAGGGGACTATAGTAGCTTCCGCGATACAACGAGGTCGTAAAATCGACTGTTGTTTCTACTGGTAACCTTATATTGTCCTTTTTATTACTGGAATATCCTTTTACGCCTGTTTTTGCACTGCTTTTTTTCTACATATTACTAGAATTCGTTCTACGACTATTCGTGTAATCCTTTTTGTTATTCTTCTCATTTTGTCTTAGTATTTTTATAGGCACTGTCTTTAACGACTTCCTTTCTTCGTCCGCCACTTTTTTAATTATTCAAATTCTATTTTTACTTCGTTTATTTCTTTTACGTATCGAAATTCTTCCTTTGGTGTTTGTTATTTTGCGCTTTTTATTTGTTATATCATAGACATTCTTTTCATAGAAGACCTCACGCTCTTATTTTTATGATCGAAATTGCTTTCTTAGTACAACGCGTTATATTCATTCTTAATGATTTTATTAAACACTTCAAACCTCGATGTATATTTTTCCGTATTAATAGATGAATTACTAAATAGGAAATAGCTAGTTCACTCGACTATACAAATTAAGATCGAGCACTGTAGAAAAAAAAGTCACGATTTCTTTCCTCCATCAAAGCATTCTGTCTGTTCATAACTGACAAGACTGCTTATGGATGATTTGCGCATAGTTGGTAAGTAGGAACGAGCTCGTAATTCTGCAGCGCATATAAATCTGCGCGCAAGAGAAGCAATAACAAATTGATGCCGGTCGTCGAACGATCGTAAAGAGAAATCGTGGTTATTCCGTCGACTTAACGATTCGACGTGGCGCGTTCACTCGTAAAAGGGGTGACCCGTGTGTGTATCGTGTATCACGTTGTCGTCGTCGTCGTCGTCGTCGTCGTCTCGCAACGATACGAATAATCGATAGGGTGTGACCAGGACCCGAAGAAATTCACTTCACAGCGGCGATTTCGATTCTTGAACGAGGCTCGCTCGGCCGTGAGCGAATCGCAAGCGAACTGGAAAACCAATGAAACACGACTAATCGTCGAATAATCGTCGAATTATACGATAGAATGGTTTATCGAACCGAAAATTTCACAATTAAAATAGCTTTAAAGAAGAGTGTTCGTTATATATTTGTTTGTTTTTAATTTTTAAAAAATGTTGAAATATTCAGTTTGATATAGGAAGTGGATATTAATTATTTAGGAAGCTGATGTACTACTTGCTAAATTATTATGGGTTAGGGTTTCTTCATATGGATTTATCGATTATGTTAATTACATTTGAACACAGGAAGATACTTGTTTCTATAGAAATTATCAAACCCCTGATACCAGATTTTTAAACTGGTAATTTTTAGCAATCGTTAGTATAATTAATGGTAAAATATTTTGCATAATGAAGCTTGCCATATTTTTCTTTTTCTAAAGGTTGTGATAATCAAAATTACTTATGAAGATTAAATTATTTTAATCATAAACAGGCTGCGGATGTTTATGTAGAAACATGTTCTTCTTCATTAAGAAACAAAAAGTTACGTATTTAATAACTGAGAAACAAAACGAGAAACAAATCATTCCGTTTCTTACTATAAGCAAATGCTACAAAATCTCTTTCATTAAAAACCTCCTCTTTCAAACATACTGCAAACGAAAAACCTCAGCGCAACATAAAATCTGATCAAAAACCCTAAACCCTGGCAAAACCGAGTTCCACTGGAAACTTTACTAATCATCCTCATAAACTATCATACGATCCACCAACTGAATCCCATAGCTCGATTCAGTGGTCTCCGCCCTTTTTCCCGTTCCGTTCTGTAAATTAATCCCAGAGATGATTAATCTGAAAGTCGGACACCGTTTCGTAAAAAGGAACTCTCTATCCTTTTCCCATCGCTCGACAAGCTTCTTCCGGCGTCATTAATCGAGCTTTAATAAAAATCATCGTCGAATGGCCAACGCTCGAATAGGAGAGTCGTGGCGAGTTGAAAAGCTTCTTGTTGCGGTGTCGCGACGTCGCGACTGCGAGCCAGCTATTCCCCTCGTATCGAGGCACGTGACACTAAGGAGGAGCGAGCGTATGTCGGGGCAAATGGTGAGCTGACACAACGGATAAATGTGGCGACCCTCAGCCATCCGGCTTGTTCTCGTCTTCCGCGGCGAGGAAACATTTTTAGGACAGTATTCAGCCCGCTTAGAGGGCAGAAAGTGGCGGACTCTCTTTTTCTCTTTCTTCACGACCCTCGTTTCTATCCGCAAACCCTCTCTCCCATCTCTTACCTCACCTTAGACGCTCCTTTCCATTCGTTTTCTCGACGTCGGACGCGCAGTGAAGACGCGTGTCCCCGCGCTTTATTTTTATTTATCGCGCGGCCCCGATTCTCTTTCTTCGAGGCGTCACACGCGAAAGCGCTGTGATAAATAATAAGGAGGACGCCCCGAGACGGAGAAATATCAAGCGTGTCCGAGGATCGAAGGGAAGGAGGGTGCTGCTGGAAGGATTCTCTTTGTGTGATTAATGGGCTGTTGTGTTGGAATGGGGAGAATGGGGCTGCAGCGAGAACGTTGTATTGTGGGAGTGTTAATGGCTTGATGAGTCGAGATGTGGATTAATTGAGGATGATTGGTGGCCGATTTTCAATGTTGCAAATGGGTGGTTGGCTTTGAGTACGAGGCTAGGAAGATGTTTTAGTTATTGGGATAAATCGTATTTATTTGTAGAGTATATAATATGGAGGATAAATTATGCAAAATAACGCAACTCTATAGAGAAACGTTTTCTGACACAACTTTTTATCCGTCGCTCAGTCTGCTTATTTTAATATATAAGTATACAGACGTATAATTTAATACATATTTCAAAGAATATTTTTTCAAGGTATGTCATGTACGTACATTGGCGCTCTAGAGTTTAGATTATATTAGAATTTGCTTCAATCAAACAGATAACTTCATTAAGGAATTAAATATTTTATCTATGATATTACTGTTTCATATTAAAATAGTAATTAATTATATTTAGAAACAATGCTTGTAGTATTCTTATTTCCTTGTAAAATGTACGGAAGAGTTTGTTCCACCGGAAAAGCAAAGGGTGTTTCAAATTCCAATTTATTTGTATCTTAATTTTTTTCTTGTTTTAACAATCGCGAAAAGACATCTAATGCCTTAAAAAGAATTTTCGCGTGAAATGGAAAAGAGAACTGATATAGTAAAAAGAAAAGAGGAAGTAAGAAAGCAGGAGAAGGAAAAGTAGAGAAGCATCGAAGCAAGTGACAAATAATAATAAAGATGTGGAAAGGATGGAAATGAGGGTGAGGCCAGGTATCACAGCAGGGATGGAACCAGTTCTGAAATTCAGATGGAAAGAAGAGAAGACCAGAGGGTCGTCCGGTGATTAATGAAATGCATTAACTCTTGCACAGAGGTCGCGAGAAAAAAGCGTGAAGAAATTGAGAAACGTGTCACACGTCGCTTCGTTCTATCCGATTTCGGAGAGGGCTTCAACGCGGAGGCAATGATTTCTCGAATTTCTGCTACGTGGCGCAGAAGGTTCGCGTGCACGCGTCCACGAACGACGCACAGATTATAAAAAATGGGGAAAAAAGGTGATGAAAATAGAAAAATTATTTGAACGTTTTTCAACGTCCCGTGACGTCAATCTGCCGCGGTTTACAAATTTTCGTGAAATTGATATTTTCAATTTTATTCTGCTAGGGCACTGATTTGGTTAATTTAATAACTTGAAATGTAAAATGGTAAAGTATAGATATTTATTATGGAAGGAAATGTACTGTAGAACACGTGTACACTTTTGTTAAATATAAAATAAAGAAATCTATATAAAATGAAGAATCAACGGAAATTTTCACTTAAAAGGACAAAAATATGATTTCGGTACAAAGAAAATGATTCCTCATGAAACATTTAAGATAAAATAGTGGAATATCTTTCATTGTACGCGTGTATTGCTGACCTAGAAATAAAAAGATATCTATTTCGTTGGTTTTAGACACGTTCAGATTTTATAAAACAGGAATTTCATTCGATATGGATGAAGTTTTTTGATTTTTACCATTTCTCTCCCTCCCTGCCTCCCTCTCTTTTTACG